AGTGGGGCAACCCGGGCGGACCAATGGCGAGCCGCGCCGCCGAGCGCCGCACGTCCGGCGGCGTCGCGCGACGCAGGCCGGCCGCGGCGGCGCGGAAAACCCGGGGCGGACTGCGGAGCCGGCGTGGGGCCGCGCGCGTTCGCGGGGTGAGCTGGGGTCCAAGGTCACGGCGGGCACCGGTGCGCCCCGGGAGCCGCCGCCGGCCTTGCAGTCCGCCCCAGGCTGCGCCGAGCCGCCGTGCGCGCCGCTCGGGGGCCCGCTGCGTCCACCGCCGTGTCGGCGCGCAAGGCTGTGGTCGAAGCTACCCCCGTGTGCTAGCTCTGCACTCACTGGCTCTTACCAGTGGCTGCAGATCAGTGTGCGTGTGTGTGCGTGTGACCCCATCTCTCCCATTAAAGAAGAAACCCGCGCGGGGCCCGTGGGAAGACACAGGTCGAGCAGGCTGCCAGGGGTGCAGGAGGCCAGGGCCAGCACAGTGTCTTCTCCAGGATGGAAGGGCAGTCCCGGTGCACCTGCTTTGGCTCCGCTAAGGGAGGCACGTGGTCACGAACGACGTCACACCAATATGGTGGCCCCTGGGTGCAGGCGGTGGGATGCAGTGTTCTCTCAGTGATGCACAAAAGGAGTTCAGGTCGGGAAGAGTGCAAAGGTTGAGTGCAGGCTGGACGTAAAACTGCACCGGGTAAAAATAAACATTCTGGGTAAGCGCTTCTAAACAGAGGCCCCAGACGAGAGGCATCGGAACGTTTTGTATTTTAATTCATTCTGTGTCCGAACTTAAGATACATTTATTGGAAATTAATGTCTTTATAACATTTACAGATATTTGACATGTGTCTGTAATTACAGCATAGATTCCTAAGGGTTCAAACTGCTTTGTACTATAAATACGACAGGAAGCCATTTCATTAAATATTCATTTGAGGCATCATAGTGATGTAGAGATAACTATGAAGATGATAACTAGGTAAGTATTTAGAGACCAAACACAAAGGAAAAAGCAGTCAAGAGCAAGAAATGTTTCCCATCACTGTTGACACTGACATTGTCCTGTCCTGGGGCACGGCGGTGTGTTTCATTTCCATCTATAACAGGGCTAACCCTTTTTCCATTCTGCACCATTTTTTGTTGAGTAACTCTTGACACAACCGTGGCTATCCTGGTATGAAAAGTAAGCACACAAATCGGCGTTGCTTTGTTTGGCTTTTGTGGTTGGCTTTCTGCGAGGAGGCACAGTCTTATACAGCCCTGGCTGGCCTGGAACTTACTATGTAGGCCAAGATCACCTAGATCCACCCACCTCTGGCTCCCAAGTGTTGGGGTTAAAGGTATGCACCACCTTATCTGGCCAAATCACTTATATAATCATAGATATTTGTTTTAAAGCAATTCTCCAATGTACATATAAATTTAACCATTTATTACAGATGAGAACAAATTATAAACTAATGGGATGTTTGTCCTTGTCTACACCTGTCCCACGGTGGACACCAAGGACTGATGTCAGGATGTGTTCCTCAAAGGCTTTTCTCCCTTGTCCTTCTCTGAGACAGGGTCTCTCAATGAGCTCAGAGTTAACTGTTTTGGCAGGGCTGGCTGACCAGGGAGCCCCCAGGATCCGCCTCTGCTCCACGCCCACCCAGCTGAATATCTGATCCTGCAGGACAGAGAGCATCTGAGTTTCTCAGAATTGATGTGTTCGGTTGGTTTGCTGGTTCGTCTGAGACAGGATCTCACTATGTAGTCCTGACTGGCCTGGAACTCACTATGTAAACCAGGCCGGCCTGGAACGCAGCCATCTTCATCCCAAGCGCTGAGAGTTAATGTGTACTCCAGCAAATTTTGATTTTCTGCTTATCAATGATAAGAACACGAATTTGTATAAATACAGTTACAAAATGGCAGAAGTATATTTAAAATCATTTCAATAGTTGGTAATCCTTTCTCCAAAAACAAAAGTAAGCAATCCTGATACCTATTGGAAGAATTAAAGTTATGACATTATAAAGAGTTGGCAATGATGTGAAGCAATTAATAGAAATTGGTGAAAGATGGTTTGCTTCCTTCTTTCAATTTATTTACTTATTTTTTTGAAACGAGGTATCATTTACCCCTGGCTAGCCTCAAACACTGAAAGTTCTGAGGATGACCTTGAACTTGTGATCCTAACAGCACCTCCCAAATGCTGGAATAAAAGGCTCTTGCCATGCCTGTTTATGTGGTGCTCAGGATAGATCTACGACTTTGTGCATGCTAGGCAAGGAAAATATATCTGATTTTTATGAATAAATTTCAGATGAATAGTATACATTCCAAACTGAATTTTTAAAAATATTCTAGGTTCTACCTTTGTTTCTGGAGGGGGGTCCTCTAGACAGGGTTTCTCTTTGTAGCCTTGGCTGCCTTGGAACTCCCTCTGTAGAGCAGGCTGGTCTTGAATTCAGAGATCCGCCTGCCTCTCCCTCCAGTGCTGGTATTAAAGGTCTAAGGGTGTGTGTGTGTGTGCGTGCTAGGAGCATGTGGGTATCTGCAGAGCCCAGAAGAGTGTATCAGATCCCCTACAGCCATAGTTAAAGGTGGTTAAGTCACCTGATGTGGGCCCTGGGAACCAAAGTTGGGTCCTCTAGAAGAGCGGTAAGCATAATAACTGCAGAGTAATCTCTCCAGCCACCCCCAGATTTACTGTCAGGATTTGAAAGAGACTGTCACTAGGCATGGTTGCTCCTTCCTATAACCCCAGCAGCTGGGAGATAATGGAGGCAAGAGAACCAGTTCAAAGCCAGCCTTGACTAAATGTGACTATATCTCAAAACAGGGGAAAGAAAGGGGCAGGAAAGGAGGTGGGAGAGGGGATGTGACGTGGTTGGGTATGGCACCTAACTGTCTCAAAACCAAAAAAAGGCCAAAGAAAGGAGCGGGAAGGCAGAGTGAAGGAGAACCACTTTTGGGTTTTGATTTTCCTGAGACAGTCTCTCCATCATTTAGTTCTGGCTAGTCTGAGCCTCACTATGTAGACTAGGCTAGCCTTCACCTCAGAGGTCCACCTCTTCCACCTTGTGAGTGTTGTGATCAAAGTTGCATGCCCCACATCTGGCTGAAAAACTATGGTTCTGAGCCTTTCTCTATTAAATCTTCTCCAGCAGTGCTGTGAGCCTGTAGTCATATCTATTGGCTGGCTGACGATCCCTTGAGCAGGAGAACAAGGCACCGGGCTGCTTCTGTAGGGGAGAGTAGTGAAAGGAAGGAGGAGAGAGAAAGGGAAAGAAGGGGAAGGAAGAAAAGAAGGGAGAAAAAGAAAAGCAGACGGGGGGGGCAGGGAAGGGAGAGGAGAAACAGCTGTAGACATGGCTCAGAGTGCCAGCAGAGTATAACCCCAAACTCTGCATTCAGTCCCACCACTGCATAAACAGGTCATGGTAGCAAATCTACAGCCCTGCAACCTGGGAAGTAGAAGCAGGGCCATTAAGATGGAAAGTTCAAGGTCACCCCAGGCTTACAAAGTGAGCTCAAAGCTTGGGTGACTTAGTGAGACCCTGTCTTTAAAATAGAGAGCAAGAGAAAGGGCTTGTGTGTGCACGAGAGATGGAGCTCAGTGATAGTTTTTGCCTAGCACATGACATACCTGAGTTCCACTCCCAGCACCAGACGGCAGGCACATACACTTTGAACAAAACTGTATCCAGGGATCTGGAGAGTTGGCTCTTGCTGCTCTTCCAGAGGGCCAAATTTCAGTTCCCAGCACCCACACGGCAGCTTACAAGTACCTATAACCCTGGCTCCAGGGCACCCAGCATTGTCTTCTGGCCTTTAGATACCAATACACATCCGACTTTCACTCACATACATACATGTATACATACATACATACATACATACATACATACATACATACATACATACACATAAATAAATCTCGAAGTAAGTCTTCCATTGCAACCCAGTACTTACAAGGAGCCACATCCACAGTAGATACTGTGCTTCATAAAAGGTGATATGTGAGGTGTTTTCTTTGCCTTAACGGACTGCACCCTCAAATGGTGAACCAGAGTAAATTCTTTAAGTGTAGATGCAGAAGGAAATGGAACCCACACGTAGTATGCCAAGTGGGAAAAAAGCCACATTTCCTCCATTACCCTTCCAAATAGCTGTGTCCCTCGAATGAGTGCTGCACCCAAGCAAGCATCTGCAGCTTAGCTGCCAACTGCAACCCTAACTCCTGTAGTTGGCGCACTTGTGATGCACCTGGCAAGGCCAGATGTCAACAGTGATGAGTAGGGCACCCACGGAGTCAAAGCTTACATCAGTCCGGGTACACACCACCAGGAAGAGTGCAGTGAATCTTCCCCACTTTCTGCTTTTGTGGCTCCAGAGGGTGAACGTGGTGCCCATGTGTGCTAGGCTCACGCTCTGCCCCCGAACTCCAGCCCCAGCCCTGACAGACCATTTCTATTTCACCTGTAACGGAGACCAACTTTGTTGTCTCTGAGACAGAATTTCATCATGTGTGAGCATGGCTACCCGCAGCAGTGTAAACCAATGCAGCTCAGGCCAGGCAGGAAGCTAAGAAACTGGGCCCCTGCAAGCCAGGCCAAAGGCACTGTGCAACAGCACCGGGAAGATACGGAGCTGGGTTACATGGTCTTCTCATGCCGGGGCCAGCCACCCATCAGCACGCACCGCCACTCTACTGCTCATGCTGCTTTGCCCAGGGACTGGCGCACTTCATGCTTCCACCGTTCTTGGGTTCTTTTGACATGGGATTTCTGCGCGCAGCCAGCTGTCCTGGAACTTGCACTGCAAACCAGGCTGACCTCGATTTCACAGACATCGGTCTACCTCCACCTCTGAGCACTGGGAGTAAAGGTGTGCGCCACCACCACATGCTTCTAAGTGCTGGAGGGACAGAAAGGCACCTGCAGTCTTGAAAAGCTCTCGGGGCCACAGCTAGAATCAGTGAAACAGAAGGCCCTGCATCTCCTGTCTCAGCACTGAGCCTCAGTCGCTCTCATGGGTGGTACCCTGACTGCTAGTGTTCCGACCTGCGGGGCATCCTCCTGACCTATCAGGAAGGGACTCATAAACAAGGTAATACCACTGGGGCTGGGGCATGGTGAGGGAGGCAGGATCAGCAGCACAGCAACGGGCTCCTTCCACTCCACACTCGGGCCTGCTGCACTGTTTATTCCATCATCAGTTCCTCTGGGGAACAAACACCCAAGGCATGTAGACTGGAAGCAAAAACATAATTCACATCAGCGTTCTCAACTTTCCTGTGCTGCAACTCTTTAATACCGTTCATGTGGTGGCAACCCCAATCATAAGATTATTTCCATTGCTACTTCATAACTGTAATATTGCTACTGTTATGAACTGCTATGAATGTAAATATCTGAGATGCAGGATAGCTGATGAGCAACCCCTCTGTGGAGGTCATGACCCACAGGTTGAGAACCACTGGTTTACAAAAACATACCCAGTTATGTTCCCAGACAGATTCACAGGAGTAACAAAACATAAGCCAAAGATAGCAACACTGCAGAGTCAAGGTAGTCACATACATGAGCAAAATTCAAGGGCTTTCCACCTCTGGCTTCTCCAGGAATCGCCTCCTGGATGGGTTCCAGCGTGTGTCACATGGTCCTGTGGAGTTCTTCATTGGGCAGCTACTTCCATGTGTGGATACAGCTTCCCCTTTCTAGGCATGTTCACACTGCAGTAGGGAGGGCTGAAGGGATGCTGCCATGGAGAATGGGCTCTGTGGAGGTGAGGAGGTAATCTAGCCCATTTGTATGGAAAGACGGTGCTGTTTATGCCCAAAGGCCCTGGGGGGGCCAGTTTAGAGGAGGCTGGACATTAGGAAGCTGTCTCAGCTCCATCTTCCTGCCCCATGATGGTAACCAATGAGCTGGCCCTTCCTAGGAACCCCCAAGCCTCAGTGGGCTACCCTCTTCCTTCTCTACTCTGCTTACTTTCAGATATACACCACATCAAATGCTAAACAAGCCTTCCACTTGGTGGATGTCTGCTGGTCTCATCAGCCTTTCCTCGAAGCTGAATGCACAGGTCAAGTAGAAAGGTGACTCACTCACAAGTGGTCCAGCTTGCCAAGGGTTACAGTGACTGCTGACCTCCGGTGACTATCAAGAACAACGTGGCTCGCTGATGCACAAATTGTACATTTCTTTATAGTTATTTTTTGGGGGTGGCCTCGGTGGTACACACGCACACCATGATGCCTACCTGAAGGTCAGAGGATGACTTGTGGAAGTTGGTCTCTCCTTCCACCATCTGGGTTCCACAGGTCAAACTAAGTTTGTCAAGCTAAGGCTGGTACCATGAGCCATCTTACTGGTCCTAGAATTCAAAATTATTTCTTCAAACTTGTACAAGTGAAAGAGACAGGCTGGGCCGAAGGCTGGGCCTGTGTGGTCCACTGTGCAGTGGCTGTGAGCAGCCTGGCCCTCTGAGGTCTCCACCTCGCAGCAATAATCGTAGGCTCATGGAACACAACCCCACAGTCTTGACTACTTAAGAATACATTCTGGACTTCTGTTTTTAAGCACAAAAGACAGGGGTATATCCCTGCCCTCACTCTTTGGGATCTTCCTCACAATCTCAGGATAAAACAATACTCAGAGAGGGAAAATCACGTTTCCCATGTGAAAACACTCCACTCCCTCCCACGCACTACAAAGACAGCACCGCATGACGCTACGTGTCGCAGTGCCGCCAAAGCTTCAGCGCCCGGCTGTCTCTTGAAGCACGCTCTACTCTCCATTCAGAGCTGTCCCTCCTGCCCTCCTCGGCCTTGTCACCACTTGATATCCAGGCTGTCTGTGCAGGGCTCCGAGCTCTGGTATCTGGTGTGCAGCACCTCCTGCACTCTGGGGGACTCAGCACCCTCCAGCCACTCCTGGTACAACTCCTGCACATGTGCGCTGCTCTCTGGGGGCCGCACAGGGATGCTGGCGTAGATGCCTTCCATCTGCTGCAGTAGTGCACGGTCTGTGTGGCCGTCCTCTGTCTGTGCCTGGCCTCTGCCGTTCAAGCATCCTGAAAGATACACACAGGTAGACCTTTCTCCCCTGTGGGATGGCTGGTTACAGAGAGCTGTGCCTCAGGGCACACTGGAAGCAGGAGAAGCAGGCTATACCATGTGACATGAGATTGTTACTGGGACTCCGACCATTGTCATGGAACCTGCCCAGGAGGAAAGCCACGGGTGTTCTTTATTCTTACCATATACATTATCCATAAACTGTCTTACCTAAAAGTGTTTATATCTTTTTGTTTTGCTTTTCAAGACAGGTTTTCTCTGTGTAGCTTGGCTGTCTTGGACTCACTCTGTAGACCAGGCTGGCCTTAAACTCACAGAGATCCCCCTGCCTCTGCCTCCCTGATGCACGCACCATCGCACCCAGCTCCTTACAAGCCTTCGGAAGCAGGCAGCTCTGTCTGCTCTCTGGACTCCTGGCTTCTGAAGAGTGCCCAAACCTAAGGAGCGCTGAGTGGCTGACAAGATGAACACAACGCTTGCGCACAGGGTTGTCAGTGCGTAGGCCCAACAAGGCTGCGCTGGGCCGAGAGCTACATGAGCTCTCCACTGTGTGTCTCCTGCTGTCAGTACAGCCCATCCGAACCTGCATGTGTCAAAATGCAATTGGTGCATGGGAGTGGGAGTAGCTGGTGGTAGGTGTGTGTCTCACATGGTCAAGGTCCTAGTTTCTAAGCCTAGCGCCAAGACTTTGATTTAAAAGAACCAGGAGGTGGGACTGCAGAAAGGGCTCAGAGGTTAAGAGCGCTGGTTGCTCTTCCAGAGGTCCTGAGTTCAATTCCCAGCACCCACATGGCGGCTCACAACCATCTATAGTGAGATCTGGTGCCCTCTTCTGGTGTGAAGGCAGAATGCTGTCTACATAATAAGTACATCTGAGAAAAGAAAAAAGAACCATGAGATAGGCAGAAATCTACAGCTCGGCGGACAAGCACTTAACTACCATACACAACGCTTTGGGTGCAGACTGCAGTGCCAGCGGGGAGAAAAGCAGCAGCAGCGGGGACAAATTCCCACCTTGTTAAACTTTACTCCCACTGACCAGGCCACCTGGCAGCTAGACTAGCTGTCCACCTTCTCAGTAGCAGGCACCCTTCTCCTCCCCAGACCCCTACAGTTTTCCCGCCCTCCGAGAGGCCCCATCTTGTCTCTGCCCACTGTAGCCCAGGACTCCAGCACAGCATCTGCTCCCAGATGGCCCCTGTTCGCATCCCTGTCTCAAATACTGGCCTCTAACCACTGCCCTGTCTAGAAGATCCCTCAGGACAGGGACTAGAAATGTAGGCCTCTCCTCTGTTATGCTCTTCCTGGATCTTTTCTTCATTTCTGACAGTACTCCTTGTCTGGCTCCCTCTGGGTCTTTCTGAGAACTCTAGTGGTCCTACTTGAGCACCTTTCATCACCCCAAACTCAGGATGACCTAGACATTCCTCATCTTGAGGTCGCTCCCTTCATACCCAGGGGTGAAGACAGACCACTTGAGATGCTTCCCTTCATTCTCCAATACCCTATGTATGAGCAAGAGGTGCCAGGCCCTAGCACCTAGCAGAGCCCCCCCCTAGCTCTGGCCTGCTCTCATTGTCTCTCCACCTCAGTCAGGAGCTTTCTCCAGCTGCCTGTCTTTACACCTGGATGGTTCAGTTTCCCTTTGTGGCAGCAGGAGCTCTAAGAAGGCGAGTGACGTCTGCCCTCTCCTGCTGCCGCTCTGCGCAGGTTCCGTTTCTTTTCCTAGTCGCCCTATATAACAGCTCCATGCTGGTGACCGTAGGAGCTGGTTCCCACGTGGCACCTACAAGAGACTGTCTACTTTTCACACTACAGGGAACCTTCAGGGCTGAGGGCAACATGCCTTGGCATGAGGGAGCATCCTGTCTTCCATGGTTACTGGTGGGCCTCTGAACCCCTTACCTCTGGGGCATGCGAGCACCTCCACAAAGTGATATGGAAATTTGCCCTTTTTGAGCTTCAGGATCATGTTCTGGATATTGCGGAAGCCATATGCTGCAGCAAAGCGCAGTAAGACCTCCCCATTCTTCTCAAGGGTAACCTCTTGGAAGTCTTTGTTTCTACAAATCAATAACATGGATTTCAATGGTCAGTGCCCTAAAGATCACTTCTGCTTGGTTGAGGTACAGTCTCACTATGTAGCTCGGCCTCCGCAGTGATAGGTCTACCACATCTGCCCATTTTTTCAACTTAAGTTTAGAATGTCACCAAAATAATGTCAATAGAAAGACCTGAAGGCCCTTGTACTGTAACCAGTGCTGGCTTTCCCACAGAGCAGCCAGGGTAGAGCAGCCACGCACACCACATGCCCCTGGCCCACCATACACTCTGCCTGTCTGTCACAGGCTTCATACCCTAGCTCTGCCTGACGTGTTAGCACCACTCCTGGGCACACCAACTGTGGGTACGCCGGCTCAAACCTTAATGCACGGTAGGTGATCTCCTCAACATGCTCGCCAAACAACTCCCTGGCAGCGTGTCTGAAGACGTGGGCCAGATGCCCATCTGAGCTCACTCCATCATGCCGTCGTACTGCCATCTCCTTCGTATCTCCAAACCTAAAACAAAAGACAAAAGTCTTCACTGTGCCCATGAAGAGGAAGCAAAAGTATTAGTCCAGTTGTTACTGGGACAGACTCCATGGAGCCACCTAAACACGAAGTCACTTAGTCTTTGCAGTATTTGAACTTTGGGGAGCCACCATGCGGGTGCAGAGCCCCAAGCCTGGCCCTCTGAAGGAGCAGTGAGCACTTAACCACTGACTTATCTCTCCAGCCCTGAAAAGCACTTGTTTTGTTTTGTTTTTTCGAGACAGGGTTTCTCTGTGTAGCCTTGGTTGTCCTGGACTTGCTTTGTTGAACAGGCTGGCCTTGAACTCACAGTGATCGCCTGCCTCTGCATCCCCAAGTGGAATAGCACATTCGTAATGAGTCCTAATAAACGACAGGAAATGTCATTTTGCACCTAGCCTAAGATTGCAAATGAGGCTGTTTCACTGGTTTCACTTACTTGCTTCTTTGTGCAGCTACATATGTGCTCAGAGCGGGGTGGTGGTGTGCTGAATCAGCAGCTGAGGTGGCTTAAGCATGTGCTTGACTGTGCCCAGGCAGCGTGAGGACCCTTGCTCAGCCTGGGTTGTCAGGTAGGCTCTAGCAGCAGGTACTCCAGCTGCTGTAATTCTACAAACTTCTATAGCACCTTCCATAAAAGGGCACAAATATAGCTTCCCAGGCCATCAGTTGTACACTTGATCTTTGCAATATACTCTGTATGAGACCCAGGATACAGCGAGAGCCAAAGTCCTGGCTGTGCATCAGGGTCCACAGGGAAAAGAAAGCCAGCAGCTGTGTTCCTGATGCAGAGGCCAGAGGGAGCCATAGTGTCAGATGTGTGTCTCTACTGTACACAGTTTCTGTGTGCCTTCCCTCCTGAAGGGTACGGTATGGCCATCACTCCAGAAGCCCCAGTCTCCTGGCAGTACTACAGAACAGTGTCCCTCTCGAGGATCCTGCCTGAATCCATTTCAAAAGACAGGACGGGAAGGATGCAGGAACCTGTCTCAGTACTCACATGATCTGATTAGGGCAACCCTAGGGCCTGCAAAGCTCACCAGAGGCCCTTCCCAACTTACAAAACACCACTTACAAAGTATCCACAGCAACGTCTTTCATGGAGAGGTCACTTTGCTCCATTATCTGAGCAATTTCACCTGGAGAAAAACAAGGGGCATGAGTCACTGGAAGGAGGATAGGTGGCCCAGGGCTCTAGGTCAGGCTTTGCTTAGGAACCTGGGACCCTCCTTGCTGTGTGATCCATTTCATGTAGAAGGAGTCCTTCAACAGGATAAATTAATGCTAACTTCTAAAGAACAATAAAAAGATATGCAAACAGAATTGCTCTTTTGGACCCTGAACTAAGGCAGTTCTGCATTGCTTGCTGTTGCCTTGAAGTGGAAGCCTGGGTGTACCCCACACAGCACTGCTACATTTGACACACACACAGACACCATGCATGGATGGCTGCCCGTGACCACAGACACTTTCTATACCACAGTCTTTCTCTGTGACCCTTTAGTACAGTTCCACATGTTGAGGTGACCCCCAACCATAACATTGTTTTCCTTGCTACTTCACAACTATGATTTTGCTAGTGTTATGAAGCACAGTGTATCTGATCGTAAGTATCTGATCGGCAGGATATCTGATACCCGAGGGCTCATGACCCACAGGTTGAATCCCACTGCTCTAAAGCGTAGCATCTAAACAGGGCTACTGCCAACAGGGCCACTAAATAAAACAACACATAGAGTGCATTGAACTTTCCACTCCTGTGTCCTATAGTATATTGGCTTTCTCACATGTGAGAGAGTGAGAAGGATCCCTGCAGGCTTTACAGCAGGCAGGAACAATCCATAAAAAGACAAGAATGAAAATTCGATTCAGCCCTGGTTTAGGTACTGGTGCTGGGCCAAGACTTGAGAGTCTGACCACCAATTCCTTTATTTTAGCCATATTTAAGCACAGCATAATTTCAGAAAAAAGGTTTCTGATAACAACTCAGCCCTGTGAATACAACAAAGCTCAAGACGTGTTTCCACTGAAGCTCTCACAAGGCACAAAGGCTTCCCCCCTGTGATGCATTCTTACTGACTCAGAAACTAGTCACCCCAGCATTCCAGGACAGGCTGAGCACCTCTTCCCTCTGAAGGATGCTGCATGCTTAACCTCCTCAGCTTCTCTGGTGTGCATGTGTGCACAGCACTGTTGGCCCTCCACAGCAAAGGGTCCTGATGGGCTGTGACATAAGAGCATCTAACAGCGGTGCTGCATTCTCCCAGAAACCCAGCCCATCTGGAGGAGATTCTGAGGAGGCAGGATGCAGAATCCTCACCCTTGGCTATCAACGCCATCACGCTGCTTGGCCATGCTGGCCTATCAGAGACACACTTGCTTTCTGATAAGTCCGAGAGCACCCGCGCACCTCACCTGATGTCAGCACACAGTCCGTGCCCCTGGCACCACTCAGAGTCATGGAAAGACCCTCTCGAAGAGCTTCCAGCTTCTTATCATAGCAAGGAGCCACGACAACATGGAAAATTTTCTCTGGAGACAGATTCTGTGGAGGAGAGCACTCAGCTCAGAGCTTCAGAGAAGCAGTGATGGTGGCTACAGCATGGGTGGTCCCAGCTGCTGATCCCACGCTAGCCCACGTGTGGCAGTGTGTTGTGAGCTCTGCACAGGTAAGGACAGGCTGTGTTCCACCGACTTTCCCTGAAGAATTTCTGAAACTGTCCACATGATATCTAGGCAACCTGTCTCTTGAGACAAACCGGCAGGTACCTCTGAGTCCTGAGTGGAAAAGTCCTGCTCAGGGAAAGGGTGGAGCCCAAGAGAAAGCACAGAGGTTGTCAGAGGTCACAGCTCAAGGCCCAAATGTCCCTACCAGCAGCTGCAAGAGGATCTGCAACTCTGGGCTCCACTGAGAGCTCAGGGCCCGCAGCCCTGAGGAGACCAGGAGACCTCAGAACTCTTACAGCAGGTATAAGAGGGCAGAAATGCAGGCCACCCAACAGCCAGTTTTCTTGTCCCTTCAGCTCAATGCAATTATGGTACAGGGCTAGTAATTTGCCAACTGTGGTGACTTTATAAACAGAGAAATGTTTTCAACGGCTAACAGGAGGCTGTCAGGTGGATATGGCTTTTAGGCTGGCTTCCGTGTTTAGAAGATCCTTCCCATCGCTGTTTTTTCTAGTTACTGTGGGGGCCCAAACAGTTTGTTCACAAGAAAGGAGAAAGGCAGGATGCAATCTATGTCAGGCTTGCCAAAGCCCTGGAACTAAGGTTTGAGGCAAGTGACTTGAAGGAACTAGAGCTTATCTATCATGTGACAATGTTAAAACCATGGGGCCAGGGACCCAGTGCTTAAAATGACTGGCTGTTCTTCCAGAAAACCTGGGTTCAATTCCTAGACCATGCAGCAGCTCACAAGTGCATGTAACTGCAGTTCCAGGGGATATGATGCAGTCTTCTGGCCTCTGTTGGCACCAGGCATGCAAGCGGTGCACAGCCACACACACACACAGGCAAAACACCCATACACATAAAATAAAAAGAGAGGGATGGGTGTGGTAGCACACGCCTTTAATCCCAGCATTCAGGAGGCAGAAGCTGGAAGATCTCTGCAAGTCTGAGGCCAACCTGAACTATAACAGTGAGTTCTAGGACAACCAGGACAGAGTCCCTGTCTCAAAAATCCAACCTAATTCAAACCAAAAAGGCAGGCTAAAGGTGGCATCTGTGGCCTGGAGCAAAAAGCCAGGCTAAAGGTGGGGCTTAGCTTCCTAAGGCGCCCAGACCAGAAGCAATCAAGCAGTAGCTCCATGGATGAGGTCCAGGGCCACCCTGTCCACAGTCTGAAGAATGCCTCACCTCAGGCCTTACTCAGCTTAAGTCCGCAGCCTGCTGCTGCTCCCTGGAGAGCTTGGCTTACCTGCTGTCTGGCAAAGTAATCCTTCACCAAGGAGCCCATGACCTGCTGTGGGGACTTGGCAGTGCAGAGATGTGGGATGATGGGGCGACCTAGCACCCGCTCAGCATATCTGACCCAACCTAGGGAGAAAGCAGAGAGAGAGAGAGAGAGCACATAAGCTCAGTTTCCACGGCTCCCTCCTGCCTTCTGGCATTAAGGTATGCCTGGGACTTGGCTCCCAGGCCAGACAGCTCATCTACATTGTCCCTGTTCATGAGGTATCCTGCTCTAAAAGGCTGAGCGCGATGGGTCTGCCCACCTCCATCCAAAGGCAGGGCTATGATTACTTCTACAGTCCTGGTGAAGTAGTACCCGCAGCTTGTGCTCACCAGGACACGCAGAGGTCAACATGGGCAGTTCCTGGTGCTCCTCACTGTGCTGGTGATAACGGCGTACAAACTCCTTCTGACTTTCCAGGATGCTGAAATCTGCAGCAATTGTGGTGTCAAATACATAGTGTACCCCTGCAGGAAAAAGGGACACAGATTCTTCCTTCAGACAGAGGATGCATCCAGATCACATCTAACTGCTAAGGACTCTCCGTCTTCCCTTATGACCAGGTCCTACTCTGCACCCCTAGGTGATCCAGAGCTCATGAGGCTCTATAGAATAGGCTGGCCTTGAGCTTGTGATGATCTGTTTGAGTCCCAAGTGTTATGATTAAAAGCATGGACCACAATACTTGGCTCTTTGTTGTTGTTGTTTTTGACTAGGTCACTCTATGTAGCCCAGGCTGTCCATAAACTTGAATCTTCCTACTTCCAGCTCCTTTGCTAGCATTATAGGTAGATACAACCATCCCTAGCTTTTGAGCACCCTTAATTCTTCCTCAACCGTGTCTTCTCCTGTTTCAAACACAAACACAAACACAAACCACAGAGTCAATGGCACATGTCTCTCGCTAGCTATTCCATGGCACACATCTCTCCTTAGCCACCATCAGTCAGTCTTGATACCTTTCTTTCTGGCCCGGTTCACACTTGGCATTTTACGTTTTCCTTGTTTGAAACAACATCCTGGCCAGGCTGGAGCTCACTGTGCTCACCAGGCTGGCAATAAATCCACAAATGATCCTCCTGCCTCTGCTTCCTAAGTGTTATGATTATAGGCATGTGCCTCTCACTTTTCTATGTGGTATTAGGGGACAACGAATTTACACAGCACTCTCCCATACTGGAGAGAACCCTTACCTGCTGAACCATCTTGCTTGCCCTCCAACCTACTTTTTGATGGCTTTCTCGTAGAACCTGAAGTTTGTTGTTTGGGCTAGACTGGCCAACTAGGGAGCTCCTGAAACCTACTTGTCTCAGCTCTTCCAATGTGGAGTTGCACAAGCCTGCTGCCAAGCCTAGATTTTTTTTTTCCAGACAGGGTTCTCACTGTATACTGGATGGCCTAGTACTTACTATGTAGAGAAACTGGCCTTGAACTCTCAGAGATCTGCCTGCCTCTGCTTCCCAGTGCTGGAAGTAAAGATGTGTAAAACCCACTGTGGCAAATTTCCACCTTTTATTCCTCATATAAAGAACACATGCCTGGGACTGGAGATGTAGCTGAGGGCTACAACTTACTAACTAAAGGTTCTTAGAAAAACGGACATTAGTCACTACAGAAATAATTGTCAAAAATAATCATTACGTGGGCTGGAGAGATGGCTCTGAGGTTAAGAGTGCTGGCTGCTCTTCCAGAGGTCATAAGTTCAATTCCCAGCATGGTAGCTCACAACCATCTAAAATAAAAAATCTGGCGCCCTCTTATGGCATGCAGGTGTACATGCAGGCAGAACATTGTATACATAATAAATAAATAAATCTTAAAAAAAATAATCATTACGTGAGCTGGAGGCAAGTATAGAAACTTCCTGGTGCTCACTGTCCACAGTTAGCAGGTGTTCACTCACTCCTTACCTCAGAGGGTCAAACCCCCTATAACACAACATCTGTCCACACACAGAAAATGTCAGTCCTTTGACATTCCAGGAATCACCCCTCAAGTTTCTCTCCTGTGCCCTTGGAAACGGAACTTGAAAAATAGAAAGCGGCCTTCCTGAGCTGAAAGTATACATCCATAGCATTTTAAAGAGGTGACTCACTCACCAAGACTTTTGAGGAAGCCGCACAGTCTTCTGGATGCATCGGTGACACCGAGGTTGAATTTAGCAGCAAAGTAAGGCAGAGACTGAGGACACACAGACACAACTAGAACTCTGTGCTTTGAGGTGTCACATTTCTAGAAGGAGAAACATTAATGCCACATGTTCAATGGAAAATTCACAGTAAAATGGATTTTTTGTTTGTTTTTTGAAGCAGGGTTTCTCTCTGTGTAGTCTTGGCTGTTCTGGAACTCACTCTGTGGACCAGGCTGGCCTCAAACCCAGAGATTCATCTGCCTCTGCTTCCCAGGTGCTGGGATTAAAGGCCTGTGCCGCCACCTCCCAACAAACATAAACATTTTAAATTACAATTTTAAGAAAGAAAGAAAGAAAATGTAGGCTACAGAGCAAGTTCCAGGACAGCCAAAAGCTACACAGAAGAGAAACCCTATCTTAAAAAAAAAAAAAAAAAAAAAGTCAGGTAAGGTGGCGCACGTCTGTGATCCCAGCACTCAGGGAGGCAAAGGCAGGTGGATCTCTGTGAGTTCGAAGCCAGCCTGGTCTACAAAGTGAGTCCAGGACAGCCAGGGCTACACAGAGACCCTGGGGATAGGAGGCTGGCAGAGGTGCACCAATCTCTGCCTTAGGCTTCCAGTGTTGTCTGTGAGGCTCCAGGTAGGGCTCATCTGCAGGGAGACCCAGGCTGACAGGAATATCTACCATAAATTCCCAACAAAATTCAAATTAGAAGTCAAGGAAGAGGCCTTTCTACTAATGTCCATAGGAAGGTTTTAGCCAGAACCACTTACCACCATTGGTACTTTGTACCAGTTTAAAAGTTGTGGCCAGCAGAACCCATAAACAAGAGGTACAAAACCTCTGCCATGTTGTACATGCTTAGAATCCTAGCACTGTGGTGGCTGACAGAATAGAAGTTTTGAGACCAACCTCAGACACAGCTAGCCACTGTCACACAACACAGAGGGAATGATTACAAAATAGATTTTTTTCATCTAATAACCATATAAAACTAACCAGTATTAAGTTTATGAACTGCCACATCCCACTGGAACAGTGATGGTGCATGCCTCTTATCCCAGCATTTGGAAGGCAGAGGCAGGAGCTCTGTCCTGCATCTGCTCCTGCCTCCAGGTTCTGCCCTGTTTGAGTCTCTAACCCAATTCCCCTTCAGTGATGCACACGTGGAGGTGAAAGCCAAATAAATCCTTTCTTCCCCAGCTTGCTTTAGGCCATGAACTGGTCATGACACGGGTACTGTGTTTCCTCACAGTAACACTGGCCATAGACAGGACTCTGTCATCCATCTGTCCATCTGTCTATATCGAGGTCTGAACCTATACGATGCTCAATGCTAGGCCAGTGTTCTACTGCTGAGCCATGTCTCTAGCCATTCATTTCTTCATTTTCTCATTCACAGACAAGGTCTCATTATGTGGCCCAGGGTGGTCGTCCTGAACTCCCTTTGTAGCCTAGGCAGACTTTGAACTCGCAGCTTTCCCACCCAGTTTCCTGGAAGCTGGACCCACAGGACTGCACCATCAGTTCCTGCTGACAGCATACCTTATTGAGATTAAGAACACGGAAGAAATCCTTGGCACTCTGCTGGGAAAGCCGCAGTCCTTCATCCACAGTCACACAGCTGTCACATGCGAGGCAGTCACTCAGAAATACCTTTGCATCTGCCAACTTATGGAATTCTCCTTTCTGTGAGAGAAAATGATGTTAACTTTCTTTCTTTCTTTTTTCCTTTTTTGAGACAGGGTTTCTTAGTGTAACCCTTGCTGTCCTGGAATTCACTTTGTAGATCACGCTGGCTTGAACTCACAGAGATCTCCCTGCCTCTCTCGCCCACGTACCAGGACCACAGGTGCGCGCCACGACCCACGGGTAGCTTTGCTTCTTTGGGGAGGGCAACATAAAGACAAAGTCGAGGCTGAGCTACCGGGAGCCACCAGGCAGTGGTTTCTGAGTAGACTGTGGTGGCGTCAGGCCCTTGGTGGCTCTTAGTCATGCAGGTGACAGTCTGGGCTGAAATAGCCCGGCACTGTCTTGTGGGAAGACAATCCGCCTTTGGCCATCCCACCTCCTCTCCCGTGGCCGTGAGCCGCTGGCACCTGCCAGCTCCTCCAGATCTACGTGGTGAACACTTCGCAGACAGTCAGGGCTGTGTGCAGCACAGCCCTCAGACTCTGAGAACCCCTGAGCTGCTGGTGCCCACTCCTGCCCCACCCCTCTTCAATAAAGGGGGACTGGCTACCTGGGCGATGGGACACTGGGACCCTAGACCTTGGTCCCTTTAACCCCGTTTTGTCCCCCACCCAACCCTGTCCCACTCTGGCCCCTTTTAGTCCCCAGAGAAATCTACTAAACCACAAGCCACATTTCCATTGCCTGAGGCCTGCACACACCTCTCAGCTTTTGCCTGGCCTGGCCTGCCCTCAGGGCTCACATTCAGCCATACCGCTTTGACTGTTCTTGAGTCCTTCCACAGGAAACACTCCAAATGAGCTCTCATTCGCCTACTGGCCCCAACAGAGCTGGCATCCTGAGATTTCTTTTCAGTGCCCATTACCACACAGCATCAGCTTGCTCATAGAGGTTGCATCTCATGTTCCTTATGCTTCTATGCTTCCCAGCATCTCTAAGAGCCTAGAAGGCACTGAGGTGCTCAGGGTGTAGGTGAGCAGCACAGCTCACCTAGCAAGTGCAAAGCTTTAGGTTCAAATCATATTAGTGAAAAATAAAATAAATTTAAAACAGTAAGTGTTCAGTAAGTATTAGCGAGTTAACACAGGAAGATGCTAAAACAAGCCAGAGTCATTTCAGTCAATTAAGGAAGCCCTAGAGAAGTCTATGTATGTTTGTTGATACTTTTAGATAGGATCTTGCTATGTAGCCCTGACCTGCTACTCACTATGTAGCACAGGATGGCCTATCTTAGAACTCCTGAAGGATACGCTTTTAATCCCAGTACTCCAGATACTGAGGAAAGTGGATCTCTGAGTTCAAGGCTAGCCTGGTCTACACAGTGAGTTCCAGGCCAGTCAGCACTATATAATGAAATCCTGTCTCCAAAATAAGTAAACAAACAAACAACATCCAGGGTCCAGGCTACCTTCCTTCCAACCCTCCTCATCCTCCTTTTCTTGTACTTCCTAAACTGCTAGACTCTACAGAAGGCCTCTTCTTTTTATATAGCCCTCACCATTTCCAGAGAAGCCTTCCCTTTCCTGCCAACACCACCTCAAGGGCCCCAAGCCAGGCCAGCTTCCCTGCTATACCCCTGGCTATTTTGCTAGGCACTGGAAGCTAACACTGTCTTTTGTTGTTGTTTTTCCAAGACAGGGTTTCTCTGTGTAGCCCTGGCTGTCTTGGACTTACTTTGTAGACCAGGCTGGCCTTGAACTCACAGTGATCTGCCTACCTCTGCCTCCAACTGCTGGATGTGTGGTCTTCTAAGTGACTTGGTAGCATGCCTTTAATATCAAGACTCCTGAGGCAGAAAAAGGATCACTGAACTCAAGGCCAGCAGGGTCCACATAGCAAGTTCTAAAACATGGGGATACATTGTCTGGCCATCTTAAAAAGTGAAAAAATAAATAGAAGCTGGAGGCTGGAGAGATGGCTCAGCAGGTAAGAGCACTGTCTGCTCCTCCAGAGTCCTGAGTTCAAGGGGCAGCAACCACATGGTGATTCACAACCCTCTATACTCGAACTTGATGCCTTCCTCTGACATGCAGATATAACAGTCATACATTAGATAAATACTTAAAAACTTTTAAAGAATTATTTACTTATTATTTATTTACTTATTATTCAGTATTCTGTCATGTGAGCCAGCAGGCCAGAGGAGGGCCACCATGTGGCTGCTAGGTTTTGAACTCAGGACCTTTGGAAGAACAGACAGTGTTCTTAACCTCTGAGCCATCTCTCCAGCCCCAATAAATAAAATCTTAAATAATAAAATAAAAAATAAGTAGAAGCTGGAGATGGCTCAGCAGTTAAGAGCATAGGCTCCTCTTTGAGAGGCCCCAGGTTCGATTCCCAGCACCCACATGGTGGCTCACAGCCATCTGTAACTGCAATTGCAAGGGGACTGAGCACCGTCTTCTGAGCCCGGTGGGCTCTAGGCGTTTATGTAGTGCAGACACCCATCCAGTGTTCCACCGCACCTTGAATCCGTGCCTTCAGGCCCAGTCTGCCAGCTCCTCGTCAGCAACCCTCAGTAGTTTTACAAGATATGTCTACACTAAACTGCCACGATGCTGGTTACACTATGTTTGAGCTTATCTTACACTTACCATAACCGTGGGAGGAGAGAAAACTAGCTCCCAACAACACTGATAAGAAATAGGGCCTCAAAAGGGTTGTGGGTTTGTTTATTTATTTATTTATTTACTTATTTTTTGGAGACAGAATTTTGCTGCGTAATCCAGGCAGGCTTCAAACTCATGCCTTTCTGCCTCTACTTTTCAGGTATACACTCACATGCCACTGGAATTAGATGTCTATCCAAAGTCATAAATAGAGGGTAGGCATTAGGGTGCAGGGCTGGTGTGGAAAGCACTCGTCCAAACTGACCCACAGCTCCAGAGAGCATTGCTTCGTGGTGCATTGCTGCTCCTCAAAGGCCTAGTGTTCAAAGCCTAGCACTGGCACACAGGAGAGTCAGAAGGATGCCAGTCAGATTAAACAGTACCTCAGAACTGCTAAATCTAAGAGGGAAGTCCTGCTAACTACTTCTCCCATGTAACTAATTCTCCACTTACATTGGAAGGTTTTACCTTGACTGCTTCCTTGCTTGCTTGTGAGGTGTGTGTGTGTGTGCGTGTGCGCCTGCGTGGGGGGGTCTTGGGCAAGTGTGTTGGTGTAGAGCTAGAAAGGCAACTTGTAAAAGCTGCTTCTCACCTATCACCTATGTGTTCATATGTCACATATGGGCTCTGGGGATCAGACTGACATTCTGAGACTTAGTGGCAAGTGTCTTTAGCAGCTGAGCGATGTAAACAGTTCTAAATTCAGTGTTTGTTTGTGGCGGAGCTCAGGGCATCCGTCTCACTCACCAAACACTATCAGTTGACTTGAAATCTTAGCTCTCAGTTATTGTTTTAAGACAAGGTCTCATTGTATAACTTAGATTGGCCTCCAACTGGGACTCCAGAGGTGCGCCGCCATTCCTGACTAGTCCTAATATTTTCTAAGAGAACAGTGACAGTAACTTTCTCTGTCAAGAGAAATCAAGAGCATGGCAGGGGCAAATGCCTCTTCAGAGCAGGAATGAGGTAGGTATGAACCTCTGCTCAGAGGGAGATACAGTAAGTACAAAGAGGCATCACTGTTGGCTAAAACAAGAACTGAGAAAAGACAGTCATTCACACAGGAAGCCTAAAGACTCATGAACTTGACGTTCAAGTCTTTTATGGAATGTAAGTTCCTCCCATTTTACAGGGTGCAGATTTCAACACGGGGCGGAGAGGTCCTGTTCCTCAGGCAGCATGTGTCCTGGTGAGTCTGAGAGGACTCAAGGCTGCCCTGCACATAGCCCTTACCACTTCTTTCTGCAGAGAAGTACAGGGCCATATTTGATCCTAACAGGAGAGACCACAGCCGCAGCCACTCCAGTCACGTTAGGCTCACACCAAACTGAAATGTTTACTTACCTCTTCATTCTCCTGGGTTGGACTTGATGCACCAATGGACACATTCTCCTGGTCATCAGTTTTTGTTTTTTTATTACATTCCTTTAAAAAAAAATGGAGGGTGTTAAAGGGAAAATTATTTTTTTTTATGTTTTTTTTTTTTTTTCCTTTTCTTTTCTTTCTGCTTTTTTTGAGATCAGGTCTCTCTACACAGCCCTGGCTGTCCTGGAACTCACTGTGTAGACCAGGAGAGATCCTCCTGCCTCTGCCTCCTGCGTGCTGGGATCACAGGTGTGTATCACCAAGCTCAGCCAAGAATAAGTTAGTGTGGTTCTCTCCATTACCAGAACCAACCCTGAGCAGTCAAGTTTGCGCCTAGAAACCCTTTGTACAGAAATAAATCATCCGTACTTAAGGAAGGAGACACACAAACACACACCCACACTTACATTTGAATTATTTGTGATAAGAACAGAAGTGATATGAGGGCTATAGGAACACTCAGATGTGGCTAGCACACAACACTACAGGCGATTCCCCGAGAAAGAACCTGATGGAGTGTTTGGGCATGACACAACTCCTGCAAACGCCAGATTCCCGCACATGCATCGCACGGTCCCCACCATGTGGAACCGTGTGCAGTTCCTGTCACCTGGTGCAGCGGGACAGGGGGCCTGCCCTTAACTCCGTCACCTGTTTTCATGGAAGTTTGTTTTTCGGGTAGGAGCCGCGCACAGCATTTCTGATCACTTCGTTGACCATTCACTCCCTCAGGGTGCCAGGACTGATCAAGCCTTGGCCTTGAACAGCCCCGTGGGGCACTAGCCCGCAGTGGGCCACCGCCTGCTGCCGCCCGGGGCTCCGCGGACAGGTGACGGCTGTCAGAGACTGACACGACAGAGGAAGGTGCACCCGGCCGAGCCCGACCCTCACTATCCTCCTATTCCAGGCCTTGGCCTTCGCCCCCAGCCCCGACGGACGCCGCACCCACCTTGCGTGTGCAGTGCTCACACTTCATCTGGAGCGGGACCGGCGGGAGGCCGACGCGCCTCGGCTGAGAGGAACACGGAAGACTGGCACACCGCCGCCTGCCGCCCGCCGGCGTCCCGCGACCCTTTGTTGTCCTCCTCCGCGGCGGCCCGCCCCCAGGGACTGCAGCAGACCAATGAGAGGCCGAAACGCGCCGGCCACACCCCCGAGCCAGCGGGAGGAGCGCTAGGCTCTTACGGCACTCTGGCCGCGCCTCCTCCGCCTAAGCCAATGAGAGTGCCAGGAGGTGGCAGGTCCCGCCCAGGAGCCAATCAGAAAATGGGGGCGGTGCTTGCGCTTCCGGATAGACGCTCCGGGGCCAGGGCATGTCGTCCTGTTAGTGTTTGCCCTGTTAAGATCCGGTCGTGGGAACGTCAGGGTGAGTGAGGCACAAAGAGTGCGCTGTCCGGACACAAAGAGGCCGGACCGCGGCGACTGCAGAGCGCCAGGCGCAGACCCGCGTCCTCTGTCATGTCCGCGTCGGAAACCCGGCTCTGCGGCAGTTCTCTGCGGAGCCGGCGCCTCCCCTGCCGCCGCCATGGCCATTGAGCGAAGCCTCACGTAGGCCGGTGCTTGGGGGAGGGGGATGCACATGCGCAGCAGGCCTGCATCGTGTGTGTGTGTGTGTGTGTGTGTGTGTGTGTGTGGCCGTTTTTCTATCCATCCATCCATCCAATATATGTATGTACAGACAGTGGGCGCGTGTGCATTTGTGTGCATACGTGCACATAGGTGGAAGCTGGTTCTCTCCGACCACCTTGGTTTCAAGGATAAAGCTCAGATCCACTTTGGCAGCTTAGCCTCTTAGTCTCTCCATTAAGCACAAGGTTAGGTAAACTAGGAAAAGGAACTAAAGACAGGAATCCTGAGACTGTCTAATTGTGAAGTTTCTTACGCCCTACACCCTTTGAGCTACACTCATATGAACTGTCAGCACATTCCTTTAGTCCTACCTGCTTTTATAGCTAAAAGTGTTTTTATTCAAAAACTTCAGGTAGAGCAGACTTGAAATGAAGAAAGCTCTACATTAGTTACCTACATAATTTCTCCCTAACTGCTACTGAGAGCCTTGTAAAGACTACACTTGGCGCAATAGTCTACAAATGTCAAATGAGCTATCTATGAGACATTATATAATGAGAGTTGGTTAACATCCTACTGAAAGCCAGCCAGACACTGATACACTATGGTTCTTGGAAGTAGCAACCAAACCTGGAAGCCCAACACCCAACTTGTAGGTTATTTATCTGAGTTTTAATAAGACAGTCTCTTGGAGCTGGAGAGCTGGCTTAGCAGCTTAGAGTGTTGCTATTGCAGAGGATCTGGGCTGAGGCCTGGCGTTGATTCCCAACTCCCATTAACTCCTGAGCCAGGGTGTGTGATTTTGTGGGGTCCGCTTAAATCCAGCATAACTCAAACACCCGATCAATGCAGACGACAAAAACTTATTGCAACCAGTCTGCTACTGCTCAATCAGGGCCCCAGAACAGACCTGGGAGCTGAACTGTGACCCCAAAGTGACCCTGTACAGCACTCTAAAGGGTGAAACCATACATCGAGGGGCAGCAGGGTGGGCTGGGGCATTGTCCAATCCTGTTTCGACATGAAGGGTTGAACAAGGGAGTTTCCATCAAGGATAGAAGTAGGTTCCTGGGCCTGGGAACATGAACTTAGTTTGACCCTACCAACAAGATGGAGAAGTTGTGTCTGAGATGGTTGGACCGAGACAACTGTCTCCTTACAGGTTGTCCCTGAGACAGCTGGACTCAGACAACCGTCTCCTTACAAAAGAAGCTGTTCAGCTATTGGGAAGTCCTTAACTCTCTTAGGACCTGGGACCTTGAACTTAGTATCTCCCTATGATTAAATGAGTCTGAAAACAAAATAGTAGTACTTAGAATAAGTTCCATTTGCTTGTTCCCAATACTAACTCCCTGTTTGGTTTTGGTGGTGTTTTGTGTTTTTGTTTTGTTTTCTGAGACAGGGTTTCTGATTGTAGCGTTGGCTGTCCTGGAGCTTGCTCTGTAGGCTAGGGTGCTGGGAGTAAAGGCGTACGCTACCACTGCCTGGCAGCGACACCCTCTTCTGACCTCTGTGGGCACCAGGCGTGCATGTGATACACATCTACGCATAGGAGCAACACTCCCACACAAAATAAAAAGCCAGGTGTGGGTAGCGTGCCTTCAATCCCACACTTTGGAGGCGGGCAGACGTCCGTGAGTCTAAGGGTGGCCTGGTTTACAGAGCAAGTTCCAGGCCACCCAGCTAGAGTGGAACCCTGTCTCAAAAATAAGTAAATAAATCTAAAACGTAAAATGCGTCTTCCATGCCAAGCTACATCCTTAGCCTGCAGGATGTTTTCTTATGTCATAATGAACTCGTTCCAGGCACATACTTACTTTCTGGTGTTGTGTTAAAAACCTTTCCTTGGGACACACAGCATACACATTACTCCACATAGGGAGCGCATGACAGACTCAAGTGTGGACATCACCAGAGTCCAGCGCGGTAGGCCAGTGGGTTCACAGGGTAACTTGCAGGAATGACTCAAGGACAGCTGCGTCACCTAGGTGACAGCAGCTCCAGGTGAGAGAGCATCTCATTTCTCATTGCCTGCAGCTGGTCTGGTCGTCTCTGCAGCTCAGTTTCCTTCTGTCTGAGAGATTCTTAGCTTTTATTGATTACTCCAAGAGGGATAAAGCTCAGTGAACCTGGGCAGTTTCAGGGACTTCCTGAAGCTATCTTGAGTTGTTTACCTTCCTGCTTAAGGAACTTCTGTCAGGATGGAATAGTTCAATTTCCGGAGGAAAATGCTGCACAACATCTGGTAATAAGCATGCACTTTTTTTTTTTTTTTTTTTTTTTTTTGGTCATTTTACTTTTATTTTATCTGCATTGGTGTTTTGCCTACATATATGTCTGTGAGTGTCAGATCTTGGAGTTACAGTCAGTTGTGAGCTGTCCTGTGGTTGCTGGGAATTGAACCCCGGTCCATCTGGAAGAGCAGTCAATGCTCTTAACCACTGAGCCATCGCTCCAGCTCCAAGCATGCACTTTTCTGATAAAATATTTATATTGGTGGTTAGAGAGATGGCTCAGCAGAGGACAGGGGTTCAATTCCCAGCACCCATATGGCAGCTCACAGCTGTCTGTAACTCCAGTTCCAGGGCTTCTGACACCCTCACATAGACATGAATGCAGGCAAAACACCAACAAACAAAAAAATAAGTAAATAAAATACATTTAAAATAATGTTACTGTCCTATGTGTCATTATAGCTCTGCAAGTGGATAATTATAAATAAGTTTGCACAGCCAGTATCGGTCCCTAGGGGGTACAAAATTGTTCAGTTTCACTAAGCAAAGAGGCTGGATAAACACTGGACCAGTACAGATTGCTTTCAAGCCTCCAGACTCTTGGCCGCACACACAAAGCAACTGCATGCCAGGCTAGCAGCTCTACAGTTTTAGCTGACTACATAGGTACTGTGCTACAGCTCTGAGAGGGAAGGGCTCCTCACTGCAGTGTCACAGCTTTGCCCTGAGGGGAAAATTTCCACAATACAGGTGTGGAACCTCTTCGGGAAATCACCAATGCCAGTGTCAAGTCAAAAAAAAAAAAAAAAAAAAAAAAAAACAAAAACATTATGTTACATTCCTAAAGGTAAGTCACCAAGTTCTATTCCTTTATTTCACTTCCTTCTCCTGAGGCTGCCTTCCAAGATCTATGATCAAAAGCTCTTTTGGTTCACCTAATTACAAGCTCAATCAAAACAAACCACCACATCTTTGCCCATTCTAACCCAGACCTCCCCTTTTTCTTGGAAAAGTTACACCTGCAGCGTCACTGGGTGCTGTATTTCATGCTGAGTCAGAAAACGGCCGATCTAACTTATCTTCCTTGATTAATAAAGGATCTCTGTGAAGGCAAGTGTTAGGGTGTGGCTGTGCCTAATCCAGGTCCGGAGGGAAGCCCTGCTGTGTGGGGTCTCCTCACAGCAGTTGGGAGCCAAGTAACAACAGAGTAACCCAGCACAACACACATCATCCTGGCAGGTGGCTGCCTCTGCTTGGGTGAGAAGCAGTTTGAGCGGGAGACAGGCTTATAGATTATAGAGCCGTTCTTGGGGGAGGCATTTTCCAGGGATCGGTGGTTTATGTGCTCAAGGGCTGGTGGGGTTTGATAGGTTTTCAAATCCAAAAGTGGCCTTGAACCTTTTATCCTACAGGTACAGGCAGACGTGTTGCCCATAAGCAAACTTACTAGGAGAAATTTCTTGCTAGGCTGTGTGACCTCCACAGTTAAGTGATTTTAAAAATGAACTAAGAGCAGCTGGGTGTGGTGGTGCACGCTTTTACTACCCGCACTTAAGAGGCAGAGGCAGTGGGGACTCTGAGTCCAAGGCCAGCCTAGTCTACATAGTGAGTCAGTGCTAGGGTACCAGCTGGAAAGGCTTTCCCAGTGGAGGTGCTGCAGCCCTGACTGGGGTGGTTTCCCCAGGGGAAGTGTTACAGCTTTGAAGGGAAAGGCATTCTAGAAATTAAAGGGGTTCTGGCAACCTTGCCTTTAACTCTATGCCCTCTGTCTTGCTAACAACTGACAACTGACTCCATGACAGAAGTACCATTCAAGCTGTAAAACTCACCACAGCACTGTGATGGCTGAACTTATGTATAAAGGTTTAAAACCTCTGTGCTTTTAGATAAATACAAAGAAAAATTAGACTTCCAAACGTTAACAGCCGTTAAGGGTTAATTTTTTACTTCTGTTTATTTTGCACATAAGGACCTTCTGCTCGACTAGAACAGAATGTAACTGTGCTCTTTGCCTTTATAAGCCTCTGACTGAGGTGCCTGGGGCCTGCATTCAGGAATCCCTGTCCTGGGCGTAGACCTGGTGCCAGTCTATGAGGAAAAGCCCCTTCCTGAACCTTTGAGCCAGCCAGTTCCCAGCACTTGGGAGGCAGAAGCAGGCAGAGCTCTTGTGAGTTCAAGGCCGGGCCTGATCTACAGAGAAAGTTCCAGGCCAGCCAGAAATACACACAAAAACAAGCAAAAATCGAGGCTGGAGGGTAGGCTTAGTGGTTAAGAATATTTGTTT